CAGCACAAATACATGCCACACTTTTCAGATTTTCATTTCTAAACAGAATCAAATCCACCTTCCACCACCCTGTGTTGGTCTATCCTACCAAATCCAAACAAAATTATTCTGAAATTTGTGGTTTCAAGGGAACAAAATGTGACTTTAGTGTCATTAGAAATGTTATTTTAACAGCTTATTGGGAATGAGGAGTATTTTTAATCATCAGTATAATGTCACCTCAGCCTCACCTGCACTTGCAGAAAGGAATCCTCCTGACGAAAGGCCACAGGCAGCTGTACAGGCCGACGGAAGAGGCCACACAGAAGATGGCGATGACCCAAATGGCTGAACAACCAGACATCAGCAGCAGAAAATTAACTCCACTTAACTTTCTAGAGCGGTAAAATGTTGCATCTCTTTGCGCTCTCTCTGAAGTCCTATGTTTGTGCGGCGTACCGAGGTAATCGTAGAAGAAGTAGAGCAGCACCAGCATGTTGCAGCACATGAAGACGAACACACAGATCATGATGGGGGTGACGTCCACCGTCTCCTCGTCCTGCTTCTCTGCGCCGTCGTCCCGTTTATGCTTCATGTAGCGCCTGAAAATAAGATCAGAAGCTGAAGAGCCTGGAACTGAGTCAACATTTCAGCTTCCGATCATCCATTTTACTAAATGTGTCGAGCATCAGGTGGGGGAATCCCACTTACTTCTTGCGATCTCTGCTGCCGGCCCAGTAGCCGCCGATGGCCACAGTCCCCACCGCCATCAGGAAAATTATCACCATGTTGTAGTCCAACACCGGCTCATTGGGAGCATACATGGCAACAAGCCTCCCCTGACCGAAAGTCTGGACGGGTTACAAACAATGAGATCAGTCTGGGTTCCTAAATCTTTTAAATCGAAGGGTTTCCCACTGTAAAGCACTTTCCAACCATTTTCAAGGTTACATTTTCAAACTTTTCCAGCCCCACACTTTAGAGATTCAGTTTTAGTTTGAATTCACTACTAAGACGTCATTTATTGTTATTAATAATGTCTTCTCTTAGTATTCTTTATAAAAAGTGAACCACAATATAGCAAAATGTTACAGTTTGAGAATCTCACACACCTCATACAACTGACAAATCTAAAAAGAAATCTCAAACATTAATGCATAAAATGTAATAATGATCCATTATTGCAATCACCTAGATCAATTAGGAACAATAAATATTCACAACATTGAACAAATCGGTTTGTGTTGAGGTAAATAACCTTCCTGCTCCACATAAATAATCACTCGACTTCCTGTAGGGTGTCTTTTCACCTGAAAGTTTATTACAACTTTATTTCAAAACTGTGCAGAAATATCATCAAGGACTTTCTTTCCAAACCTTCCAAACACTTTATTTGAAATTCAAACACCTGTGAAAACCCTGAAACATCTGTCATCAGAAAAATCCTCACCTTGCTTATGTCCAGCATGTCAGCATAGCTCAGCAGAGCAACAGGAATGTCTATCTCCTCGTACTGGGTCTTGTTTCCTGCAGGTGGAGTCTGTGAAACACACACACACACAAACACACACACACACAGAGAGAGAAAATCAATAAAATGGACTGGAACCTGCTCAACAAACAGTTACGGTAAGTGAACATCTTTACCAGCCTGTCTTTGCTGACGATCAGGATGCCCTTGGCTCCATTGATCTGGGCCAGGCGGACCTTCTCGTAGAAGGTGCAGTTGCCCCTCATCACCATGGGGATGCGGTTTGGGAAGCCCTCCTCTGGGACCTCGGAGGGCGAGCAAAGGACCGACGACGTCAAGTCATAGATCTGAAGACGGGACTGTGACGGAGAAAGATCAGAGCGATTAAAACGAAACTGAAGTAAATAAAAAAAAACTCTTATTTCTCTGATTTCATACCGGTGAAAGCTGCTGTTCAATTTTATTTTTAAAAAAAAGACAAGTTTATATTTCTTATGATAATTTAAGTTTATCAAAATAAAAGTGATTATTTACCAATTAAAACTTCTCATTGGTTATATTACACTACACTAAGGCCCTCTTGTAAATTTGCACATGAAATTGCTCATCAGACAGTTAAGCAGTTTCTTTTCACCTCATTTGTATTATTCTTTTACTTTATTGTTTTTGTAAATAAGTTACATATGTATTGTTTTAGTTTTTAAGTAGACAGTTGAACTTTGTCAAGAGGATCCAGTCTGGGTTTTCTTTCTTTGTTACCAAGTGGACAGAAATTAAAGATAGTCGTACAAGCCAAAAATGAATTTCTTGCTCAACAGGATAGAAAAGCACAAATGTCTGCATTCATTTTGGATTTAGAGGTTTTGCTGGACTCTCAGAAATGTCCATTATCTACTTTTGTTACTACAATGTAACGGACATATACAGTAGAGACAATGTTTTGCAAAGGTTTTCATAGGCCTTGAACTTTTCCCTCAAGTGAGGTACAAATGGTAAACATGAGTAGTTTTTCAAAAGGTCAGTAGCACCATCAGGATACTCACTGCTTTATTAAGGTCCTGAGGTAGACGTGCCCACTGGGAGTTGAAGAATATGCAGTAGTCCTTCCCATTGCTTTTGCCCGTGTCACTGAAATGGGCCATGCCGTACTCTCCCACCACCTGTCGGCAGAGAAACTTTGTTTCAAGTCATGAGTGATGGGAGGAATAATCTGAGAAATGTTGACACAAATATTCAGCAGTGGTGAGATGTGTTAACGGGGTTTTATGCTCCTCTGAACCCAATTTTCCATCCTGTGGTTTGGCTCTTACTGTATAACTAAGACATTTTCTAACAATGTGATTTATGTTCATTCTAATTTAACATAACTTCAAATAACCTTTGACTGGGACACAAAAAGAGAAATGCAAAAAAATAATATTTAAAAAAAGCAGATAGATTTCAGAATATCTATCTAATTCGGAAAAAGTAATTAAAAGTTTACCACGGCCTGGGTCGAGTTAGTTTTGTCATTGTTTTTCTGAAGGCAACAAGAGTCATCTGAACATATTTTACTCCTTTCGGCTCAGATTTCAGACCCGCTGCCATTTTTAAAACCAACGGCACGTTGTAGGTGATTAGCAGATAAACCCTCTATTCGCTTCCGGATTATTCTGTGTTTGTGTTGCTTTCAGAGATGCTTTGAATCGACCCTCCGTTATTATAATGTCCTATCCACCGGCGATCTGTGGGTTTCCAGGGCCCACGGTGATTTCCCGCAAGCTAACGTTCAAATAGCATTAAGGCTAATTCAGAAGAAAATCGATTACAGTACAGCTGCCCGACTGTGTCAACTAGAAGACGTGCTTGTACAAATATACCGTTTTTAGTGAAACAGATTTAATAACTCTCACCCCTTGGATGAGGAAAGCGGCCCAAATCAGTGCTCCGGGAACCCTCATATCTCTTAGCTTGTTGTTGTTTAACCCATCAACGGACCAACCGCTCAGCTCGAGCCCTCTGCTGCTGTAGGCAGAAGCCACGCCCTTTACAGTGTTAGCCACTATTTCATTGGCTGGTTTCATCAGGAGGCAAGCAAAAGCGCAATTCTGATTGGATAAGATTAAGAGAACGTAAATAGTAGCTTTTATAACGAAAATATAATGTGGAGCAGTCTGTGGATTATTTTTCTGCTTTCAACATAAAAAAAAGAGACACAGCATACTGTTGCATCATCATTTTCAATTTCTGCTCTCATTTGATGGTCATCATCTTCCCTGGTGGTCTAGTGGTTAGGATTCGGCGCTCTCACCGCCGCGGCCCGGGTTCGATTCCCGGTCAGGGAACGTCTTTTTCAACTTTTGAGGCTATTTTTATGTTGAAAAAGGGAGTTTGCATTTATTACTGGGATTAAGAGTCCAAATTTCAAACTTACCGTTTTATCGGTGCAACTACAAAGTTGAATAGCACATCATAAGACTGAATAAGTTAAAAAGAAAAGACAGGCAGTTGTAATTCTGCCTCATCTATTCATCAATGTCATTGTTATTTCACATCTGCAGCTCATAGCAGGACCCCTTTATAATCTTTGTTGTTGCGCGCTCGAGCTTGTTATTCAGACATGATGCAGTAGACTTTCAGCCTGATGTCATTCCATATGTCCTTCCTTCTGGTGTATATTTTACCTGTGTCAAGTCAGCCATCATTAGCGGAACCGGAAGAATTTCAAACTTCACAATAAGAGGTTATACGTTCACGGGCAAAAAAAAAAATCTGACTTTTTAATAAATCAGATAAATTTATTGTATAAATTCACACTATTTATATCAGTCACGCAAACTTATGGTTAGTTACCAACCCAACCAGGTATTGCAGACATTTCTGCTACACCTACATGTTTGCTTTTCAACCATCTAGAAATTAACTTTGGCTTATTATGTTTCTGCATTACCCAAGTTTCCTTAAGTTTAGATTGTGAACAGATAGCGGGTGAGTTTAAGCAGTCTATTTAAGAACATGCCGTGCCATCTCAATTTCAAAAATGGACTTTAACTAAGCCAGACAAAACCACTAATTTAATTTAATTAAAAATGATCTCTTTTAGCACACCAGGAGTGTGCTTTGCCTCAGAGGACTATGTAAAAGTTTAATAAATGCCTAAATTATCATATAATCTTTTGAAATATGGTAAATTCAAATTCTTCTTAATGATTTTCACGTTAAGAACATTAACTGTACATTAGAAATTATTGGAAACAAATGTTTTGAATTTAGTTTATCTAATAAATGCATTTGTCATTTAAATTAACACATATAGAAATATAATTAAAATGCAGATTTATTTCTTAAATTTTGGCACTTACCCCCTGGTATTTGCAAAGCAATTTTTTATTTTATTTTATTTTATTTAACTTTTTTTTTTTACTTTTCCAGTTTATCTTGGTATGTGTACTCTCATTTTTTGAGCTCATTTTAATGGTAAACACATTGTAATTTTTACATTAATAAAATGTAATAAAAATCCATGAAAAAAAACTCTGAAAAACTTTTACTTTGAAAGTACACGCAGGAAGTTCTCTGTCTTGACGTCAATAAATTGATAAACCGGGACATCCACTCAGCTAGTTGGATGAGGAATACAGTAGTTGTAGCGAACAGTACGGTGAGTGTCCATTGCTGTAATGTTTTCTGTTTTAATCTGACTAATTGTGTATTTCGCTGCCATAATTTGGGTTTTAGTAGTTTTTGTGAGGTTTAAAACGACGAGAGCCGGTGTTTAAGGCTAGGTTACGTACCGAGCTATAGCTAGGCTGTCTTCCGTTGCCAGGATTCGTTTAGTTTCTTGTTAAAGCGTTTTAACCGTTTAATCACGAATAAAATAATGAGATATGTGTGTGTGTGGTTTTTTTTTTTTGGGGGGGGGGGGGGTATTCGTGTTATTTATAACACGTTCGTCGTTTGGCTGTTTTATCGGTTGTTTTTCTCAGGAAAAGCCCGTTTTTTTATCTTTTAAAACCGTAACAAAAGTGTTAATCAGAAATTGTGTCGGCCACAAAAACCTCTACGAGTCAGGTATATTGTGTGAAGAGATAAAAGGTAAAACATCCCTTTGTGGGGTTGCTCCGGGCCCTTTAATTGAGTCAGAGTTTGCTGAAGCAGGAGCAGGAGGTGATCTAAGTAAGACTGGTATGCAGAGGTCTGACATCAGCCCCAAAGTGTCTGAAAACTAGAGCTGTGTTTTCACTACAGCCAAATAAGGAGGACAGGAGGCAGGGCAAGGGGAGCAGCTGAACCTCCATTCAGACTGGAAACTCTTTTGCTGCTTTATAACTCGGGCTGCTGGCTAAAAAATAAGGGAATGTTTTGCTCTTAGAGAACCAGAGATAATTTGAATTCATTTTAGTATTTAAATTCATCACATTATTAGATGAATAGTATCCAATTCTATTTCTTAAAATTGTGTTGCTGAAAGTGTTAACTTTGTTTTTGCCTATTTGAAGTTTGTTTTTCTTTTTTGGCTAATCAAGCATGATTAATCTACATATCAGTGCTTTGAGGAAATTCTAAAGTTTGGCATCCGTGCTGTTTTTCTATGTAAAAGCCACAGTGGACCAACAGCAGCAGATGGTTTGGCTGTGGAACTTCAAGATGGACGTGAAGCAACTTTTTACTTCCACTCAACTTTCCATCATTATGCTAGGATGCAGCACTTTGTGAAGTCAGCTTTATTAGCATGCACCTTTTTGTTAGATTAAGGACCGTCAAAGAACATCCAACTTCCCATAACAACAAAACATGTCTCTTATGACTCCTTCTTTATTCATAAGACATCTAATATTCTATTGAATTAAAATACAGCAGTGATATGTTTAATATGTGGTGTAAGTTTTATTTATTTCCTTTTTTCACTGACTGATCTGTACAGTTAATTTTTTTTCTCTTTGCTTTGCAGGACGCCTGCAGGACTTTCTCCCCTCACCATTGGCGTCAGCACCATGGCTGGCTTCAGGCAGGAAGATGTTGAGCTCTACTACGAGATGGGAGAGGAGCTGGGCAGGTAGGAACCACTCCCACATGACAGAAACATGTTTTTCAGGTGTTTAATTTCAGCACAGTAGCCCTTTAGTGCCAGGCAGAATCCATGCAAAGCATTTTATGAAACTCTAATAAGGCTTCCTCAGCTGTATAGCTAAACTCCAGTGATCTATTTCTTGTAATTATGAGCGTATCTGGACCACACAGTTTATTGATCTGTCAGGTATGAACTCCAGGCTGCCAAAAAAAAAAACGAGATCATAACGAGTTTGCATCAGCAACATAAAAAATAATTGAATGCACTTTTATGCTGCACTGGACACTTTTAAAGACGAGTCATCTTTTTTTTATTTTTATAAAGACATTGACCCACCTTCCCGCCTTGGCTAATCCCTTTCTGCAGTAATGCAGCAAAAACTGTGACGTCAGTGGCTCTCGCTGTCCCTTTCCACCTCTGCTGTGGTGGAGTGTTTTTAAACATCGAGTCTCTGTCAGAGTGTTTTTGTTTGCTGAAAGAAATTTGAATTAACAGTCATACAGGGAGAGATCATGCTGTTAAGTTTCAACTTCGATTTCACCTTGTTTGTTTTCTTTATAAATAACATTTCACTCCATGTTGTTGTTTTTAAGTACAATTAAAATTATTTTCTAGTCTTGGACTCATTCTGAAATGATGGTGATATTAAGATTTGTTTGCAAGATTTCTGTCTGGAAGGAGTCTCTCTCACGCTTTTAAGAAAACGTATGTTAGTATAATTTACATTTAGAGATTAAGGTACAAGCTTAATCAATATTCAAATATTCACTATTTGCATTAGCATTGGCATTGAATCAAGTTCTTGAATCTTCCTCAATTGTATAATTAAAGTGGCTTTTTCAGTTTGCACTGATTACAACTTGCATCAGTTGGGCGCATAAATTAGTATTTAATGTTGGTCTATGTTGATTTTAAACTGGCTTCGCTCCAGACAGCATCTTTGCTGTTCTGTCATCTTCGTGTTTGTGGAAACTGGTTTGATCCCAAACATCCCAACCAGTTTCCTTTGACCTGGTAGATGGTGGAAAGTTGCACATAGTTAAATATTCCACATCAAACTGTGTTTGAAATGTTAATCTGAAGCTTCTTGAACAGCCTCCCCCTAAATCTCTGAAATCAAACTGATTGAACATGTGTGGAAAATGGCTAAAAGACAGAAAAATAACAGTTTAAAGCAGACATGGGCAAACTACGGCCCCCGGGCCATATACGGCCCGTTAGTCTTTTTAATCCGGCCCGCCAAACTTGTCCAAATTATAGTAAAAACCTCGTTCATTTCCCTTGCAATACCATCGTTCCCCGATAGATGGCGCACTAGTCATTGATCTTTGTTGGAGAGTAACTTTCCAGCTGCCGTTTCCCCCCTTCGGTAAAAATGAGCGGACCAAAGAAAAGAAAAGTGGATGCTGAGTGCCGAGTATTTAAAAAGGAGTGGACAACAAAATATTTTTTTACTGATGTCCGATCGACGGCCGTATGTCTGATATGTCAAGAAACGGTTGCAGTTTTCAAAGAGTACAATATCAGCCGTCACTTTGCCACGAAGCATGCTAACTATGCTAGCAAGCTGTCAACACAAGAACGGGCTGCTACTGCTCAGAGGTTGGCAGCTAATTTACAGACTCGGCAGAATTTTTTTCACCGACAAACTGCGATTCAAGAGTCAAATACGAAGGCAAGTTTTCTGCTGGCATTCAAGTTAGCAAAGGCTAGCAAGCCTTTCTCCGAAGGCGAATTTTTGAAAGAATGTATGGTAGAAACAGCAGATCTCTTGTGTCCAGAAAGCAAAGGCAAGTTTGAAAAAGTCAGCTTGTCACGCAGGACAGTGACTCGGCGTGTGGAACTGATTGACGAAGATTTAGTCAGCGAGTTAAACAAAAAGGCGGAGTCCTTTAATTTATATTCACTAGCACTGGATGAAAGTAACGACATGAAAGACACTGCTCAGCTCCTAATTTTTCTCAGAGGGATAAATGACAGTTTTGAGATAACAGAGGAGCTTTTAAGCATGGAATCACTAAAGGGGAAAACGCGAGGAGAGGACTTATATGAACAGGTGTCTGCTGTCATCCAGAGAACGAAGCTGCCTTGGAGTAAACTTGCCAGTGTCACCACGGATGGATCGCCAAATTTAACTGGAAAAAACATCGGGTTGCTGAAGAGAGTCCAAGATAAAGTGAAAGAAGAAAACCCTGACCAGGATGTTATTTTTCTTCACTGCATCATTCATCAAGAATCTCTGTGTAAGTCTGTATTGCAGCTTAATCATGTTGTGGATCCTGTAGTAAAACTTGTTAACTTCATACGAGCAAGGGGACTTAATCACCGTCAGTTCATTACGTTCCTAGAGGAAACCGATGCGGATCACCAGGACTTACATACCACTCTCGTGTCCGCTGGTTAAGTTTAGGGAAAGTGTGCCAACGAGTATGGGAGCTCAAAGAGGAGATTCGTTCGTTTTTGGAGCTAATGGGGAAATCCGACGAATTCCCTGAGTTGAGCGACGAGGACTGGCTTTGTGACTTTGCGTTTGCTGTGGACATATTGTCCCACATGAATGAGCTGAACGTTAAACTGCAGGGGAAAGATCAGTTTGTGCATGACATGTACACAAATGTGAGAGCCTTCAAATCTAGGCTGATTTTATTCTCCAGGCAAATGTCAACCAAATCTTTCGCTCATTTTCCCACACTGGCCACGCAGAAGGCCACCCGAAACGTGAAGAAATACTGCAAATCACTGGACGACATGCACAGAGAATTCTGCCGTCGGTTCACTGATTTTGAAAAAATTGAAAAGTCACTTCAGCTGGTTTCCTGTCCCCTGTCACAAGACCCTGAAACAGCACCGCATGAGCTGCAATTGGAGCTGATCGATCTCCAGTCTGACTCCGTCTCAAAAGAGAAGTTCAGATCTCTTAAACTGAATGACTTTTATGCTTCTCTTAACGAAGCCACATTTCCAAACCTCCGGAGGATGGCACAGAAGATGCTGGTATTGTTTGGCTCGACCTACGTGTGTGAGCAGACTTTCAGCGTCATGAACATCAACAAATCCCGTCACAGATCCCGGTTAACTGACCAACACCTCAGATCGATTCTGAGAATTGCCACAACGAAACTAACTCCAGACTTTGATGCACTGGCAAAAAAGGGAGAACAACAACACTGTTCCCACTGAGATATGAGTTTCTTTACTGTCTGATGAAAAAAAAAAACAACAACTTTAGCATTTACGCGGCGGCGGTACAGTAGCTTAACTAACATGCCGCACATCGCTCTCATTTTAAATACCCCTTTCTTTCGTTGGCTGATAATATTGTAACGATTCTGTGTTTTAGTTCTGCTGGGGTCCACATGGTTATGTGTTAAAAGTTACATTGTGTTGCTTATTGTTACATGTAGCGTTATGTACTTCCGCTGTCTGACTGCTGACTCCCACTCACACGTGATTGGTTGGTCTGTCATGTGGGGGAGGAGCAGCAGGAGTTCGGTTGTCATTAAGCTGTCAGGGAGTGAAGCAGTTTGTTAGGGGCTGCAGCCATAATAATAGCAGCTCCTATTCTTATTTCTAATAAACCCTGTTTGACGGGACTACAGCTACAGTGTTAGCATCATTATAATATGTTCTGAATGTTGAAAGTGATTCCATTGATCTTTTTCCACTAAATGTTGATTTCTTTAAATTTGCACCTTCAATTGTGTGTTTTCCATACATTTCAATACCCAATGTAATTCAATAAATTACATTGCATGTCCAAATGCTCCTGGCCTGGCCCCTCTGTCAAATTTTAGAACCCATTATGGCCCGCAAGTCAAAAAGTTTGCCCACCCCTGGTTTAAAGTAACTCTTCCCTTTCCTATGCTGACAAATTCAGCCAAAATAATATTATGATGATCAATTTCAGTTATTGAAGGTAAATAATATTTTTGCCATTTTCTCCACTGTTTGTTTCATGAGAGCCTCAATAAATGTCAGAAGGTTATAAAGTATAATTAAATCTACTTGCTGTGTGCAGTTTACTGATATAAATCACACTTTTTAAGTGAGTGGCATTCACAAGAAGATTATTGTAAGTAAGAATGTTTTTTTTCTAAACAACATTTAGAAATGTTTAGAAATGATTCAACTATACAGTTACCTAAAAAATAGTAATGAATAAGTTTTTTAAAAATCCTAGTCTTTATCATTGTCACAATAGTATCAAAAAATAACACAATAAAATTTAAAGTTTGTCATCCACCCCTGGTTTGAATGCATCATTAAAAGTCCAAATTCAGTACAATATTCATGTGCAACATGATGGTCGGTAGACTTCTGACCATTTCTATTGCAGTGCGTTCTTGTTAAATAGATTTCTGCAAGAGGTTTGCTCTTCCCTGTCTCTCCAGTGGACAGTTCGCCATCGTCCGAAAGTGCAAGGAGAAGAGCACGGGCGTCGAGTACGCAGCCAAGTTCATCAAGAAGCGGCGCCTGTCGTCCAGCCGGCGCGGTGTGAGCCGCGAGGAGATTGAGCGCGAGGTCAATATCCTGCGGGAGATCCAGCACAGCAACATCATCACTCTGCACGACATCTTCGAGAACAAGACGGACGTGATCCTGATCCTGGAGCTGGTGTCCGGCGGGGAGCTATTTGACTTCCTGGCTGAGAAGGAGTCTCTGACCGAGGAGGAGGCCACGCAGTTTCTCAAGCAGATCCTGGACGGCGTGCACTACCTCCACTCCAAACGCATCGCTCACTTCGACCTGAAGGTCAGCCATCCGAGGGGAACTGGTGGGAAATTAAATTCTGCTGAGGGTTTTCCAGGTAGTTTTACCTGGAAAAAATTAAACTAAGCTCAAAAGTAATACTGGAAATACTGCTTTAATTCTCGCACTTAAAAGTAACAACCAGCCATTTTCTGGCTATAACTTTGTGTTTTTTGGTGTTTTGATTAAGTCACATTCTTCAGGCACCATTACCTATCAACCCCAGCCCATCACCTAGTAACCCAAGCTGAGCTCTAGTATGTTTGGTCAGCTGGTTTTACTGCTGTCCAATGGCTGCTAGAAAAGACAAGTGTTTTGTTGCTGACTTGCCATCCAGAAGCCATACACTGAATTTTTATTGGTTGTGTAGGACGCTCCACTTCTGCTTTTCAAAGACGTATGGTTGTGTAATTGTGCATCTGTTTTCATCCATTTTCACATGTGAGTGCAAACGTTGAGTTTGGGGGCAACTTGTATGGAACATCTCATTCTGAAATAGACAGAACTAAGCCACTAAAATCTCACTACCTAAGAATGATTTGTGCTAAAAGATGTAATGAACATGTTCTGTATGTCCTATAGACTTATCCTATTGAGGACGGCCACCTTTAAAGATAAAAATTCTTTTCTTTTTTTAATCTTTCAGCCTGAGAATATTATGCTGTTGGATAAGAATGTTCCCAACCCCAGGATCAAGCTGATTGATTTTGGGATCGCTCACCAGATCAAAGCTGGAAATGAGTTCAAGAACATCTTTGGGACTCCAGAGTTTGTCGGTAAGGCCTCACAGCTGCACTCTGAGTTTAAACCTTGTAAGCGGAAAATGTTTGGCTTCAGATCACATCTGGTTTGAATTAAAGCTTTCATTCTTCCATGCTTTTTACAGCGCCAGAAATAGTCAACTACGAGCCTCTCGGCCTGGAGGCAGACATGTGGTGAGGAGTCTCTTTTTTTTGTTTGTTTTATTTTCTTCTCCTCATCTAGAGATGTTTAAAAACCTGTTATTTATTTTTTCTCATCTCTTCCTGCTTGCAGGAGCATCGGAGTGATCACATACATTCTGTGAGTAAAAAATCTCATCATAGCATTCGGTCAAATCATTTCTAAAGTGAGCACTGATGGGGAAACGTTTTGCCTGCCAGACTGAGCGGAGCGTCGCCGTTCCTCGGCGAGACCAAGCAGGAGACTCTGACCAACATCTCGGCTGTCAACTACGATTTCGACGAGGAATATTTCAGCAACACCAGCGAGCTGGCCAAGGACTTCATACGCCGCCTGCTGGTCAAAGACCCAAAGTAATAAAATAAATAAAACTCATGGATTCACATTGTTTAAGTTGCTGGATCTTAGTTGAAAAAAAATGGTAACTTGATAACTTCTGTTTGTGTAGGAAGAGAATGACGATTGATGACAGTCTGGAGCATCCCTGGATTAAGGTTGGCATTTGAATTATTTCACTGTTCTCATTAAAACTTAGAAATGGTGCCTAGTAGATCTACTGACTTGTTTAATCAGTTTTTCATGCTTTTATTATTGTTGTACTTTTCTCCTCATGTGAGCAGATTGTGCTGGTTGCCAGAAACTGTTAATGGGATGTTTGGAGTCTCATTTAAAGTCCAGGGAGATTTTCTCGTCAGCTGGAAAATTCAGGAAATGTTTTCCAAGTCTGGATAGATTAAGAAATTAGAAAAAAAATTGCTTTTTTTTTTATCCACCATTCCATCCATTAATCAGTCCATTCATTTGTCCATTGTCCATCCATAAAAGTATCCTCTCTTCCTCTTATCATTGATCAATCTGTTATCCATGTAACCTATAATATAATTATCAATTAGTCTATTGATCAATCCTTCATGCCTTCTTTCCTCCATTCATTTATCCGCTCATCCTTCTGTCAGTGCATGTCTTTCTGTTTTCCTAAGTAACCAGTGATCCAGTCATTCTTCATCTTTTTGCCCATCTAACTATCCGGTGCTGTAGTACGAGTTTATCTTCTAGATTCTGTATTTAAAACTTGAACTCTTGGCACTGTGGTTGGTAATTATTTTTAAATAAGATCTATTGTGCAAAGTTCTCATTTTGCACAGTTTTGTTCTGCCATTTGGGTCTCTACTGCTTCTGAAAACAACACAAGCAAAAAAAACCGTAAATAAAACAGCCAGCTGTTGTTTATCAATAAGTTTTAATGTTTGTTTTTTTTTTGGTTTCTGGAAAATCAGCTGTTTCAATGTAGCATCACATTCGACAGGCATTGAATGTTGCCTAGCAACCCCAGCCAAAGTCATCCTGCTACCTCGTAACCCAAGCAAAGTTCCAGCACATTTGGTCAGCTGGTTTCACTAATGTAATAATGGCTGCTGGAAAAAAACAAGTGTTTTGTTGTCGACTTACCATCCAGAAACCACTAGCTGTGTTGGTGGCTGTGCAGTAGGCTCTACTTCTGCTTTTCAAAGATGCATGGTTGCATGATTTTACACATTTTTGCAGCCCTTTTCACATGCAAGCGTAATAGTGAGTTCGAGGCGGTGCCCAGCAGCAGCTTATGTGGATTTAAAGTGACAAGAGACCCTAAAGCAGTTCAAAATAGACAGAACTGATCAGACTAAAATTTCATTATGTAAGAAGGATTTTGTGCAAAAGTGTGATGAACATAGACCTATCCTAACAGGGAAGGATAATAGATGATCTTTAAGCTTTTCAGTTTATACCTTAGAGATGATTTGAGGACTCTGGAGATTTTAGTCTGGCAAAGCATAAAATTCTGTCATAACATCTGTGGACTGTCTTCTCAATTTCCCATCTTTGATTTCTTCAGGTTATCAAGAGGCGAAACGTGCGCCAGGAGGACCGAGATCACAAAACGGAGCGCCGTCGCCTGAAGACCACCCGGCTGAAGGAGTACACCATCAAGTCGCATTCCAGCATGCCTCCCAACAACACCTATGTGAACTTTGAGCGATTCTCCCAGGTGCTGGAGGAGATCGCTGCCGCGGAGGAGGGCCTGAAGGAGCTGGAGCGCAACCAGCGCTCCTGCCAGGAGGACGTGGCAGCGCTGCTATCCATCTACGAGGAGAAGGAGGGCTGGTACAAGGAGGAGAACCAGAGCATCTCCACCGACCTCAGCCACATCCGCCAGGAGCTGCAGCGCTCCCAGACGCAGCGCAGAAAGTGCCAGGAGGACGCCCGGCTCACCATGCAGTCGGCCAACAACCTCAAGCGCAAGTTTGGGCGTCTGGAGAACCGCTACGACGCGCTGGCTGAGCAGGTGGCCTCGGAGGTCCGCTGGGTGGAGGAGCTGCTCAGGTCCATGTCCGCAGAGAAGGACGCCCTCGAATCCGGCAGCGTCCCCTGAGCTGAGCCGCCGTCCAGCCAAGACGTTTTCTCTCTACAGCTTCGTCTCGCCCTTCTGCTCTGCTTGTTCTCGGAGGAGATGAGAGTCATCTCCAAGCGCTTTGCTGCTGCTGCTGCTGCATCTGCATATCTGGAAAATCTTCCACCATTTTCATCCCACAGGGAAGGACGAGAATCTAAGAGGCAAATATGTTGAAGCCACTTCTGCAGAAGAAGACTCCGTTTTTTTTTTTTTTTTGTTTTTTTTTATACATTAATTTATGATTTCTAGATATTTTAATGTACCGTAATTCGGCTGTTATTTCAAACCCTGTTGGCGAGGAAGGAGATGACTCCCATTCCTTTGAGTATTTGTAGCCTGGTTTGTCATTTTAAACACTAGCTAGCTTTCAATTTAACCCTTTCTGTTCCAGTCGAGCTTCACAATATATGTAATATTATCAGATTTCTGAGGGATTCAGATGTGTTTATTCATGCAGTTACATGCATGTCTGGACTTAGTGTCGATGCAATAAATTTAAAGCCTCAGCACTCAATATAGAGCTTTAGGGTAGCGCTTTATTTTACATGTCATGTAATTTAAATTGGATCACCTGCGAACCATTGAAACCGTTTTACAGCTCATTGGTGCCAAATAATTTATTTTAGCAGGAGAATAACTTGATGTAGGTTTGAATTTACAGTAACTACTAAAATAAAGCATTACCTGATTTGAGAATGTATGAATCAGCCTTTGCAGTGCCTGAAAACGGATCAACCTCATCGTGGGCATTCAGCTGCCATCAGCTCAGTCATTTCAGTCTCATTTACAGAAATACTGCTAGTCTTAAAATGCGACATGTTTTGCACAGTAGTCTTGTAGACCAAACGGTGTGCATGGAACCTTCTGTCAGTACATTCAGTGTAACTTTGCGTTCGTCACGGCACACTTCAGACATTCCATTGACGAGTTTCACATCCAGCTACCACATTCCCCGTGCAGGAATGGTGTTCTATTGTCTGTAGTATTTTTCAGTAGAGAAATGTACTCATTTGCACTTATAAAGCAGTTTCAGAATCTATTTTAATCTGTATCCTGATCTGTAAGTCTTTCTGGGAACTGTTTCAAATAAAGAAACTTCAGCAAATTGTTTCTGTGTGGGAATCATTTTAACGTAACTGCAAAAAAATCAACTAAAGAAATATTTATTCAGATTGAGGCAATAAACATTCTGTCCTCAATATTTGCAGCTTGATTTGCACACACGCCATGTTCATACAGTGTGAGATTTTGCAAATTTTGTTATGTTTACATGAATTTTGTTAATCCGAGTGAAGTTGGTCCCTCCACCGTCTTCAAATCAGAGAAAAAGGATGTCAAACGTTTGTGCCGATTTTGTGCAGCAAAATATTTTCTTTGTGCTGCTTTGGCTTTGAAGATAAAAGATAAAAGTTTAAAGGTCCTTTTGATTTTGTAAAAGGAAAGCTAGTTGATAGCTTTCCTATCAATATCTTCAAAGATATTATTAATTTTATTAATATCTTCAAAGCCAAAGCAGCACAAACAAAATATTTTGCTGCACAAATGTTGGTTAGCTGGGTGGCTCGTTGACCTTTCATGACCTTTGGAAACGTTTCTTAATGTCTTAAAAATGATAGTGGCACAAATGAAAATATTTGCTGCACAAACGTTTGGTACCAATTTTTGTCTGATTTGAAGAAGATGGGCCAACTTCTCCCAGGTATTTTAGTGTTTTTCATAAATCAGCACAAAGTGAAGAATAAAATGAGAAAAATTGCAAAATGTTTTTCATAAGAATGGTAAATAAAATTGTAAAGGTGTCCTTCAAGCCTCTGTTCCTGCTCCTTTTATCATTTTTATAAATGATTTGGAAAGAAATTTGCTGGATGTAAAATTCCACCTATATGGTAAAAATACTGTAAACTAATAAAGCATCTATTAAACAGGCTCCTAAATCCAAAAAGGTCAGATCCATACCTGCTCATCACATCCACTTTCAGTGTCCCTTAAGATTGTTCACAACTTGATATAAAAAACCTTTTTCTTATGCACAATTTGCAAAAGTCATTTAAAAAACAATGCCCTAAATGAAGTTTTAAATTCATTTAGGGGACAGCTGAAAAATTTTATTGCGATTCTTAATCCCCTTTAAAATTGGTTTAAGCCTTAACCTCATGCTCTATTCTTATTTGCATTGTGTACGTGAAATTCATGACGTTTAAATAGTGTGTATGTTTAATTTTTATTTTGTATGCGGCACTCCGGTGTGCGTACTGGACAGGGTTTCCTCTGAAAAGAGATGTTATCTCAAGACCCACGACTTCCTGTTTGGTAGATTTAAAAAGAATGTTTAACAATAACTGTAAACATCACCAGTTGTTTATAAGGTGGAAAATAGGAATAAACATGACTAAAAATCCAACCACAAACCGGAGCTCAATGCAGACTGAGCTGATTTTGAACAGTGTCCTCTAGTGGTTAATTACTGAAATACAAGTGACAGATTGTAATCTTTCTCAGAATAGTTTTTGAACAAATTAATAACTAATCACTATCTTACCCTAACCCTACGACAGAAAGTAAAGGGGTTTAAGCCTTTAAATAGATATTTTATCAAATAATTTATTTTCTGTTGATATGTAAATAAATAAGTCATGTTATTTATATATGTGAAAACATATAGATTGTTATACATTGTATTTTTCCACTATTTTATAAAATAAGAGGAAGTTAGCATAAAAGTGGATATGTTGCAAATTTAAATGAGCTTTCAAATGTATTGATTAATGAATTCATTTATTCACCAATAACACTGCAACATCAGTCATAACAGTTTTTGCCTTTATCTTCTGATAATTTTGTTTTCTCTTGCAGCAAACAGATAATCTGAGCATCTCAAAGACTTCCTGAAGCCTGGATGAAAGTGTGAGTTGAAAACTGTGAGTGGGTGACGTTTTCCACCAACTCTGACGCAGATCACTGCTTTCAGCAATGCGCCTCTGGTCATGGTAGGTCATGAGTCAGCTCTCCAAGTCTCTCTTTCTCCAGTTGTGCTTCGAATCAACAAATCTGAGTGAACTCTTAAACCATCAGCCATGCAGCAGTCACTTATTAGTTTTGTTCCCCTCAAGGAAACCCAGTAGCCTACTTTGTTTATAGACTTACAGGCAAAAAATAGTAAAAATGATTGGAAATAAATTCTTCATACTGTCACTATCAATAAAACTACGATAATCAATAATATTAAGAATAAGTCTAGTATGATGATGGATATTTCTCCCCTTTAAAAACGCTGATTGGCATTCATTAATAATCGTTTCTAAGCCACTGTGTTTAAGCGATTGGCATAAATACGAGCTAAAATTTTGTAATCTGTACATAACAGAGTGATAGGTCTCCAGTTGTCTAGTGATAAAGGATCTTTGTTGACTTTGGGGATCAGAGTAATCAGACCTTGTTTCATGTGGGAGAGAGACTATTGTTTGAAATGCATTCCAGCAGGGCCTCAAATAACAGTTTTTGTAAATCTTTCCAAAAGAAAGTGTAAAATTTACCCTTTGGCATTTGTTGTACTGCTACGTCAAGCTCTTCGATTCTTCAGTCGTCTTCCATGAGGCTTTTAAAATCAAGATTAATTTTTTCAATAGATTCCTGAATTTCATCAAAAAAAAAGATTGGCAACTGGATTCCGAATATTTAGAACAATAAAGATCACGATAAAAATTTCTAATTGCCGTATTTATTAAATCCAGGTCTTCAGTGACACTTCCATGAATAATTAGTTTCTGAATCTTCTTTTTGGACTGTCTTTGCTTCTCAAGACTGAAAAAGTATGAAGAGTTCTTTTCGCCTTCCTCAATCCATCGAGCCCCGGAGCGAACGAAAGCCAGAAAAACATCATCTAGTTGAGCTTTGAAAACTTCAAGCTGATTTAGCTCTGCAGACGACAAAACTGATTTTGAGCATAGAGAATTAATATTGCTAATAAGTTGGGATTACTCCTGTCTCCTCAGCTTTGAAACAAGTTTGCCTGTCTTTATTGCTGTTGTCCTAACCTTAAATTTAAGCCACTCCCACTTATTTAAGGGAGACAGTAGTAGTTTTAAGTTAAGTTCAGTGAAGGTTGTGGATGCAGGTTGATTTTTCCATGTTATAATGTAAAGGCCATTCTTAAACTTCTCAGGGCCTTTAGTTCATTCTATCTATACAAAACCTTTAATTTTAAGGTTTGTGTCTTTTAAAAAAAATGTTTCTTTTATTTTCATTTTATGTCTTTAAAAGTTAATCTTAAGTTTTTGTTGCTAAGTGTAAGGGGTTTGAGAGAAAATGTCAAAAGGAAGGCAATGTTTATGTTTGTAGAAATAAGAATCCACATTGTATTCTTCTTCAAGAAACCCATTCAACGGACTCTGATGAAAAGTTTTGGTCAAATAAGTGGGGAGATCAGATTAATTACTCGCATGGTACATCTAAATCAGCAGGTGTGTCTATATTACTGAATGACTTTCCAGGGAAGATAATTCATACAAAACATGACAGTGATGGCCATTGGTCTCTCTCCGTATTACATACTGAGGACTCGTTAATAATTCTCTGTAATATTTATGGTTACTGTAACATTTCCAAAAATAAAGAGCTTCTTTTATTCAACTTTTATTGAAGCAAATATTGAACAAGTTAAACAAAGATTTTCTACTTAATATATTTTATTAGGTGGGGATTGGAATATGGTTATGGACAAAGCTCTTGATAAATAAACCAAGTAAGTTTGCAAATGCCCATCCGAACCGGACTCTGTTTGATTTCTGTAACAGATTGGAACTTATTGACTTATGGAGAGATAAACATATTAACGAAAAACAATTCTCCTGGTTTAAATTAGACGCTTCTAACTAATATTATATTTCCTGTCCGACCAAATAAAAACTCCATTTTAAATTTATTCTCTGATTCAGAGTTTAATAAGTGGAGAACTGCATACCTTAAATATCCTCTGAGCCCTAAAGCTAAAGAAGTTCATTTTAAAATTCTCAACGGCATTTTTCTATGGAAGTAAATATGTGCCATCAGGATTTGAATAAAAAATGCCTCTGAAATTTGAACTTTGTGTATTAGTGTTTACTTTTTCAGTTTTTTTTTTTTTTAATGTTTTTACTGGGTCTGGATGTCTGCATTTCAACCTCATCCTCCTCTACTGCCAATGGTTGTAACTCGTGTGGCATTCAAGTGTAGTCTGCAACACTACACTGAGAAAGTCGTTCAATTGTACTCTGAAATTTCAGAAAATTACTAACTCCTGAAGTGGTCTTTACTCTGAAAATTGCCACATATTGAAGTGATTGTTCGCCATAGTATTCAGCTATTTTACACATTTAAGGAAGGAAAAATAATATTCTTTTCTATGTTTATTTGGCATTAGAGCGCACTGATTCATATAAATATTAGCTTTAAATGAAATCATAAAAATGGAAATTCATTGTAAAATGTAACGAATTTACAAAACCATTACCAGTCAAGGTAATTTTATTTATTTTATTTTGAAGCCCATTTTCATTTTTCCGTCTTTCATTTTAAAAGAAAGCACCCCAAATCTACCGAGGTGTTTCTAAAATGAAACTTAAAATAGCCCACCTCTTTGTTGTTGGTCAATTATGTTATTTCCGTGCCAGAAAGCACGAAAGAGAGACGTCTCTTATTTCCGAGCT